AAAAAAAAAAAAAAAAAAAAAAACTCAGCCAAGGCTGACCTAACAGTCACACAAAAGATAGACACCGGACTGAGGCAAGCCCCAAACACTTCTGCAGTCTTAACAGTAAGAGACTGCCTTTGAAACAACCTGGACAAAACGTGGGGCAGTACTAAAACTTTCCTCATTCTTTTCACATATACCTGTCTCACAGACAAAATGGCCTGGCATTTAAAATTATTAATGCATTTTACTCTATCTTTTCAATTTTTAACACTGAATTTGTTCAACTTATTTCCTGTGGAGTTAAGATTACTTTAAGAATGTCAGAGGCTGTCATTATGGTATTTTTTGTGCTACCACTTAACATTAAAATTCAATCGTTTTGGCTTTATTGACAGAGGCCAGTCTAAAAGTGCGTTTTCACCTAATTAAAAGTACATTATTTGCAAGCCCTACTTGCCATCTGGCTTATTGGTATTTCGGGTACACATCTTGTTCTCGGGACCCCTCTATCCATCCTCCTCAAGACCTGCCATAGAAGATACCAGGCAGTAGGTAATATTACTGAGAAAAAGCCTTTTGTGAAACTTTCATTCAAGTATTCAGCAAATATTTATTAAGCTGCTATTATGTACAGGCCCTATGCTAGACAGCAGGGACATAATCATTGAGTAAAAGCAGACACGGTTCTGGCCCCGTATGGTGCGTGCAGTTGAGTTAATCTTTGATGGGTAAAGCTGCAGCAACCAAGCTTAAGGATGCCCAGCAGAGTGTATCTTCACCCAGTACTCAAAAGAAACGCTGGCGGTCATCTGTAAGAGGCCACACAGCCTGGACCAGAGGCTGACCTGGCTTTGCGGCCCTTCTCTGCCACTGTTGACCAGGCTGCCCACTCTAAATCAACCCACTGCTTAGCCCGGGGATGCTTTTCTTCTCATTTTCACACCTCCCTTTGAATCAACTGCTCAAAAGAGTCACGTTTGCTATTTTTGGTATAGTACTTACAGAATCAGAATTGAGACACGGACTAAAAAAGAGACGGTAAGAAAGGCAGCCCCCAAAGTTCTCTCATTTAAATCAATTTCTGCTGAGATTATTTCTACCATCTCAAAACTCCACTAGGCCTGCAGAGAAGAGCTTAGGTTTCTTTCCCAGTCGTACTCCCATGAGCTGAGTGACCCTGGGCAAATCACCACCTCTCTCTGTGTCCTATCTTCCTCCCCTTGATGGGAGTTAAATGGTATCTGTAAAAGAATAGCTAGCTGCTATCAGGCTCTCAGTAGATTTCAGCTACATCAGAATTAACTACTACTGTACTTAAGACCTAAGAATGATAATGGTCTAAACACTAGCTTCACCTTAACTCTACTTTGCAGTCAAACAGTCCCTGAGGGAAACTTGAGCTAGGCTTGCCAAGTGGCCTGAGAAACCTTCTCTGACCCCTAGCAGGAAAAGCTCTTGGCTTTCATTTTACTAACACATGAACTAACAGGATGGCTCCCTAATATGGTTCCCCAGTGTCCACTCAAAATTTCTATTATACATCTGACATTGCAATATGGAGAATACATGACAGGTCCTCCAACATCAGGAAATTTCCTATTTGAATGGAAACAGCTATTAGGTTTAAGCCTAAGGTCACAGAATCTTTGTTACTAATGACATATTTACATTAGTCAAATTTACATTAGTCAAATCTTAGAAAAATCTTAGGCAAGACACTTTCTCTTAAAGCAGTATGCCCAACCCTCTCAACTGGTCATGAGCCTAATGGCTATATTTTCTTATTTTGAGATATGATATGTTCAGTACTAATTATCTTGTTATTAGTGTTCTCAATAATAATAAAGATTTGGTAAGATGACAAAAAACAAGAACTGTTGTCAAATTACTACAAACACTTTTACATTATTATGCATATTTCTTAGAAAATTCTCCTAAAAATTAACCTTTCTAGAGTCAAATCATATAATTTGTTCTTTTATGAAGAAAGAACTGACTCTTTTATACTAATAACAAACATATTATTTTACATTAACTGTTTTTGTAGTTGTTTCAAATCCTTAGTGAAACACAGCAAAGGAACAATAAATCAGCTGACTATTCTAGAAAAAAATCAATGCACAGAATACAACCAAACTTTAAAAACAGAATGTGATCCTATAAGAAGAAAGTAGAAAACTTTTTACATTTCAGGGGTTTATAAGGCTAATAATACCTGAAAAGTTAAGTTAAAAGCACACCTCACTATTTTATGAGTGTGATCAATAGAGAAAAGGTATGACTTTGATCATTGTCTCTTAGAGGAGTAATCCAAAAGCAAATTTTATCCCTGAGGCTCTCTGCCACCCACAGGACACCTGTCAATCTTGGCAACAGCAGTTAGCTATCCATATAGAGACGTAGCATGTCCCTCTCCTGACCAAATTAGGACAACCTCATCTGCATTGACATCAGTGTCTATAATTTTGGAATCCCATGGACAGAAATAGCTTATCACAGAGTTCTTCGGACGAATGTACTGTCTGTGGAAAACCATAACCAAATTTTTTTATAGGAAAATATGAACTCTATAGTAAAAACCCTCCAAGTGTGTTTTTATCATTCTAGCCTATTTTAATAACAAATAATAAATCAGAGTAGATTTTTT